TTAGCAACGTGCAGGTAGAATATTCAATGTGGTATTAATGTTCGCAATACAACTCAATGTGGCGAAATAGATAGCATAGAAAAGTGTGCACACAATCTGAATTCCCCTGGTGTTACTCATCGTATCTATGTTACCACGATAAATGGTGCATTACGTTGACGATCTGCAAGTTATGAACGTTTTTTTTTTCAGTATAAAGAATTCAAGGGACCAGTCACCCCATGGAGCAACCTTGATATCAGCATCTGATTGTATTGTTGTCGCTCACTTCATATTAACGTTTTTGAAAACAAATTAATGAGTCTTACTGGATACTTGTAGGAATATCTTACCTACACACTTCATTATAACGTATCACATAAGTCGTAAAGACAGTTTATACAAAACCCGTGCAGTTTAGTCCATAGATACCGGTAGGGCTACATACTATGTAAACTTTGTTGTTCACTGTGAGGAACCGATATGAAATAATATGGATTTAATAACAAAACCCACTAAAATAATGTGAATATTGAAAACGTCTTTCTTGGCGCCAGGGTGCATGTAATTTGTTTACCCTAACACCGGGCAAATGTTTCTGCTACTGGAAAAATTATTATATACCTTAAACTGATATTTTTACTCTATTTGTAACATAAAATGTCACATAAAACGGTCAGATACATGAATATTGAAACTCGACATCACTGTTTCGTAAGGTACAAGTAGTACCTCACCCATCAGGAGCTTTATGTTTAATCATTCACTGCACCAAAGAGCATACATTATAAGCATACATTAATTGTGTACGCATCTGCATATTTATTTGGATGCGATCACAAAACAAATATTACATTAAATGAATTTAGCGATACAAAGCCAGATATTGTTTATCTCGTTCAGTATAGAATTTAAAAGTTTCTCAAACACAACATAAATGTTTTAGGATGATTACCAACATGAAATACTAGTAAATAAATTTATCTAAATTCTCTGTTAAATTGCACGAATAATAACGACAGTGTAAGAAGATTTTTTCAACATACAATGGCCTATTCTCTGTAAAGGTAATTTGTTTGATACTACAAATTAAATTAAATATCGCACTGATGACAAGTGTACATGTATTCATTTTGGCAAACCAGATGTTTATTGTAATGTTCAAAAGATAATGCCCAGATACGGTTTTTACACGTATCAAATTGGCCATCACATATCCCATTATGCCCATACCCCGATATTTTAAATGGCCTGCCGCTTAAATGTAACAGTTTGTGATACTACCAATAAATTGATATACATTAAATCATTTATTTCGTTGTAATGATATTTGAATGGGCTATGTCTAAAAACGCTTCCTTCTACTCATACATCTCATGTCTCGTCATGTAAAAGTGCGCACACAATATTAAAACTTCAATTGTACGGGGTTATAAGATGACCTATAGCCCCGAAATGAGTGCAACGAACTCAAATTTATAGATTTCATCTCAATAAAATGTAATAAAATGTCCAACATATCATGTTTGAAATTACAATCATAAATATTACAGTAAAACCAGATTTCAGATTATGAGTCTAGATCAGGAATTAATAATTAGAAAACAACTGAGTAATCGAATATATCAAAATATTCAAAATGTTTACGCAGACAAAGAAACTAAATGTGCGCGGAAAATAAATATTCAATTAAGAATTAGCTATTTGTATAAGGAAAAAAAACAATTTAATAATCTGTATAGATCAACCGTTTAGATTCCGAAGTGCTACAATGAGTGATACTCGTTTTGATTCATACGTTCGACTATTTTCACATCCGTTTATTTTAATCACATCATATGTTTCTGAGGTAGCTATATTATATTCCAACTAGCGGTTTATTATTATATTTATTACTTCAATGATCTCATCACGAAAAGTGACGTCGGCGTAAGTTGTGCAAGGTAATAGAAAAGGGAAAATATAATTTTGCGTCCACGCCAGTGGATCTAATATTAGACGTACATATTGCGAGTAATACATATAATGGCGCTGACTCGTAGATAAACAATCTTTCTGTTGACCATATATTTCTGTATTTTGTGTATTTTCTTTTCAATCGGGCACTAATATTTCTTGGCCATGACAAATTTCATATTAATATATAAATATATACATATAAACTTGTTGTATTATGCAGCTCAATATTGAAAAAAACAAACAATCTGCACATGTAACGTACGTAACATAACATTTGTTTTAAGACAGTGTAAGCATTTCGTAACCGGTGCTAATACCCCTTTCTAAGGGGGTTAGAAGCTGCCATATTTAAGCTCCCTTACGCTTACGTAACGTGTTCACATCTGTTTTTCCTTACGCCGGCCACGGCGTAAATTTCACCGGAGTGAGTGAAGTAATACAGAAAATAGAAAATAGAAATAAGCAATATGTCAATATTTAAATCAACAAATCTGAATGCTTCATTGTAGTTTTTATATACATTAACTGTTTCTGGACCCGACACGTGTCTTTAGTTCGATAACAAAAATATAAAATCAACCGAAACATTTTATGGCTACTTCCACATTAAGTGGGTAAGGGTGTGAAGCCCACATCTCGAAAACCATACTCACTTATAAACCATTTTTTTATATTTATATACCCACTTCTGAACACAAGTGTTTTCAGCGAAAAAAAAAAAAAACACACACCCAGCTCACAACTTTCGCAACCAGTGAGCGCATCCGGGCAATGCATTTTATTCAGCCTTTTCCAGTATTTGGCTCTGAATATAAGGACCTGTGAAAAAGTAAATAAATGCTACACATTTCTAAACCAAACCATTGATAAATGGCTACCCACTTCTAAACAAAATAACGTGAAATGACACCCCAGTCCGGCGGCACATACCCGTATTGCACTTCTATGCTGGTAGCCCCCCGGGATTACGGCGCGGTGCATACAATCAGAATCAATCAAAAAAAACTTATATTGCACCAGATGTTCAAGGAACAGATCAAAGTCACAAAATGTTGAATGTTAGAATGATTTAGAAAACAGATGGGTATTAATTTCCATTTTTAATTTGCCAATTGCAGGGAACCGGCGCACCTGCGGCGAGGGTCTATACAGTTGGAGCTACATATGAGAAAGGTCAGACACATTATGATTGTAGCTTTACAATAAAACACGTAGAGGAGGCATTTGTCATTTGAACGTAGTACAAAAAATATGGATTTAGGTCGGATTAACATAACGACAATGTATACATGGGTTATTTTAGTGAGTGCTTTGAATACCAAAGTGTAGTGTACAGACAATCAGTGTAAATTAGTAAAAATTCAAGTGACATTTGTAGGAATCGCGAACCAAATTCGCTCTAAAATTGTTGGTGAAATCGCCATACATGTCCCACGTATTATCAATATTCTTCACACACCTCGTACGCGCACTGTTATCCCGCGGGGAATATGCCGTACATAGACGACTTTCCCGGAAGTCGAAGATAAGTTTCGCATGCGCGCGCATATTCGTTTTGGGGTGTAATGTAAACTTGCACGCGTGATACTATGCTTCTTGGTGCACCAATCGTTGTCACAAAACTGCAAACTGACATGTTTGTATTTTCAACTATGACAAAGCAGGAGTATTTTTGCACCCAAGTCTCGCATCGTCCGAACCCACAGTTTCGCTAAAGCCAGCCATTCATAACCGGCCCACAACCCGTGCGTGATCGTGTTAGAAAAAGCTGTATTTCACTGCAGCTAAAAAAGCTCCATGATTCAGCTGCAGCTAGAGTTATTTGATTGGGCGCGCATATGAGCTGGCGCCACCAAACAGAGTTGCTGTATCATAAATGTGAAGCGCTTTCTTTTGATGACCAGTAAGCCATTTTAAAGAAAAAGCTAGCAAAACGTTTATTTGATTCCGCCATTTTACTTTTTCCGAGAAATGTGTAGTTTCTTTTGTGAGTTCTGATTGCGTGATGCAAATGAGCCGAAGTGAATCTTATAATCGTTTGAGGGCGTGCGACATACAGTAAATCGTGGTGAAATCTACCAAGGGTTAATGTTGAGGCTACGGCCGAATAAATGATCCTTGGCTGGCGAAGATGCCCAGTCTCGCTACTTCCGGGGAAAGTGGTCTATTCTATGACATAGAATCTATTTGTCCTAAATTAACTCAAGAGGGCGCACATTTTCAATTTTCGTTTACTCTATTCCCCTGCTGTGCGACAATCATTACTTGCCTGTTGTAATGCATACGAACGAGATCTATTCATGAGAGCACAAACAAAAGCATGCGAAAATGAAATTTGCTTTTTGTCACAGTTGGAGATGAATTGACGAACAGAATAATCCCAATTTGCCGAATTGAAATCAATGTTTGATAAATAAATACATTCCCGATAGTCATTGTCACGTGACATTACACAACCAATACGATGAGCAATTATTGTTATGAATATTATCTTCTGAGTCGTTGTCATGGCATCATTAAACCGAATACGACTTTCAACACGCCCCCAGTGACGAAATATTGTCGAGTAGGCAATACGACGTAAATCTGTCAAACATCTATTTTTATGGGTCGTTTACTCGTAAATCGGCATGTGGAATAGATGTGTACGTTGTTTCCATACATGTACCAATCCTGTCGCTTTGACTGTGACCCGAACGTCGCTGTTTTGAAAAACAACAACAACAACAACAACATTCACTGACAGTCAGATTCGTTGCTCCGTGGAGAAGGATGACAAACGGATTGAGGGCTACTTAAAAATCACCGCGCATGTATGAGAACAAAGAATTGGAAATGTTATTTACTGAGCGTTAAACACATGAGCGTTCTGAATAACCATTCAAGTTGTGACACTAATTTGCCGTGAGACAGTCGGTCACCGTTCACCAAGCCAAATTGTAATTATGGTCGAAATCGTCAACGACACTTCAGCGACTGTGTTTACATTGTACGCTGGACATGTTTTTAGCTTTGATATTATACTTCCCGTTGCGTTCGCATTGATATTTATAACCGGCATGATGTCGAATACCCTTGTGTTATTTGTCTTGTTACCAGATAAAGCAAACCGCTGTATACCGGACCTATTCTTCATCAATCTAGCCGTGGCAGACCTTCTGTTTCTTATGACACTTCCGTTTTTCGCCTACGTCTATGCCACAGGATCGTGGCTTTTCGGTGATGTGTTATGCCGTTTGATTGTGGGGTTTGATGGAATGAACCAATTTACAGGTATTCTGACATTGCTCGCCATGAGTTTCGATCGTTATTTCGCAATTACATATCCAGTCCGAAGTAAAACGTATCGCACAATTCGTAAAGCACGACTCATCAATGTATTGGTATGGATCGTCTCATTTTTATGTAGTTTACCCCTATGGGTGTATGCGGATCTTCACACAGAACCAGATGGAGCGATTGTATGCCAAATCATGTGGCCAAATCCTCACAAAAACGCATATACTTTTTTAGTGTTTGCATTTATTGTTGGATTTGTCGCGCCGGTGTCAGCGATGATGAGTCACTTATTTACAGGTGTATTCCACCACCACTTTAGTGACGACAGTCACCGTACTAACGGTGAAATAACGACAGTTGCTTCAATTGGGCACAGATCTCGACGAATTGCCATTCTGCTCATTGCATTCATTGTATGTTGGCTACCGTTTTATGTGATGAATTTTATTACCCTCACATTACCGGAAGTTGATAGAGGCTCGGGAAACATAAGTACTGCTGTTATTACGATGTATATCATTAGTATCTGTTTAAGTTATTTAAATAGTTGTGTAAATCCTATCATTTATTCATTTATTGGATCTTCCTTTAGAGTTAGAGTTAGAAGAGCCGTAAGTATATAGCACCATTTACTACAAACGAGTATATGATAACACCTACAAAAGAATATATGAGATATGAATACACGATTCACGTGTAAAGTCATAACATATTTCCCCCAAACAACACAAAATATGACATAATTGACATGAATACAAGATAATGTTTTCCACTAATTGATTTTCATTACTTTATTCGAACGATCCTACTTTTGTATCACGTGTTTCAATGTAGCCACAGTCACTGCAGCAAGTGAGTTCTGGCTAAGTACATTCACACGTTTGTATCATGTGTTTCATTCTTAGCCCTAGTCACTGAAGCAAGGGAGTTCTGGCTAAGTACATTCACACGTTTGTATCATGTGTTTCATTCTTAGCCCTAGTCACTGCAGCAAGGGAGTTCTGGCTAAGTACATTCACACGTTTGTATCATGTGTTTCATTCTTAGCCCTAGTCACTGCAGCAAGGGAGTTCTGGCTAAGTACATTCACACGTTTGTATCATGTGTTTCATTCTTAGCCCTAGTCACTGAAGCAATGGAGTTCTGGCTGAGTATATTCACACGTTTGTATCGTGTGTTTCAATCACAGCCTTAGTCACTGCAGCAAGGGAGTTCCGGCTGAGTACATTCACACGTTTGTATCGTGTGTTTCAATCACAGCCTTAGTCACTGCAGCAAGGGGGTTCCGGCTGAGTACATTCACACGTTTGTATCACGTGTTTCAATCACAGCCTTAGTCACTGCAGCAAGGGAGTTCTGGCTGAGTACATTCACACGTTTGTATCATATGTTTTAATCTTGTCCTTGTCAATACAGCAAGGGAGTTCTGACTAAGTACATTTACACGTTTGTATCATGTGTTTCTATCTAGCCCTAGTCGCTGCAGCAATGGATTTGTATCTAAGTCATTCAAACGATTTTATCATGTGTTTTAATATAGCTCTTGTCACTGTAGTTAGTTATGGCTAAGTACAATCACACATTTGTATCATGTGTTTCAATCTTAACCCTCAACACTCAGAATAAAGGATATAGCTAGTACACCCAACCATGTTTATATAAACAATAGTTAACTGATATTGTAAAACAACATTCCTGCTTCTTTTTTATGTTGGGGACAGTCAATCAGGAAGTGAAAACCATCTTCAACTGTAACAATGAATATCACTTCTTTCACAGAATCTTTCGTCATCTTTTGTTTTTGGCTAGCTTTTTCTATTATTCAGGTCTTTGAATTTTGTTAAGGTACATTCACTGCAGATCCTTAATTTATTATTTTTCCCGGATTTTGATTTTCCTGAAATGATTTCACTTTTCTACAATGCTATGTAATTTGCTTCTATTTGATGTACGATATTCTTAGTATTATCCAAGTAATCATTCCTTCAAAATATTTCCTTAATTGATTTTGCCCATTGTGACCGGGAAATAAAAATACAAGAAACTGCGTTATGTACTCATCTGTTTTCATTCTTATATTTTATATTGCTATATATTTTAATATATATATGACCATAATTTTTTTTATGAATACTAAGGTTGGGGGTATTCTTAATTCTTTACTAACTGCTAAGATTGTTTATGATCGATGAACATTTTAAATTTGAATTGTCTAATATACTATTAAATATATTTTAATTGGCTTAATTAATATAGATTAGCCATAAATCATTATTTCATTTATGATTTTATTCTAGTTTTCCCTATTTTGATTTGTTATTTCTGATGTTGTACATTGACGAGTGTTTAGATCTATATTGACCTCTCTATTTTCTCCATTTTATTTATCACTGTATCTAATAATTAGTCGTTGTAAAATATTACAGTGATATTATCAATGTTATTATTTGTTGGCAATGTGCTATACTAGTTTATCTGCTTTATTGTTTTTACTGATTTTTGAATTATTTGAGTATACCTTGAATAAGTGTCATATATGCAGCAATGCAGATAATGTGTAATCTTTGCGCGGCATCATTAATATTCCCTGCCTTATAATTCATATGTAAATATTGGATTATTTTGGACATTTTTGTTATATTCTGTTTTGATTCTTGGTACTTTTCTCCCCGCAAATATTTTATATTCTTATAATATATCTAATTTTGTATCGGTGTTATTATCATGCATAGAAATTAAAAACGATAGTGAACAATGGTCCAATAACTGGGATATTGAATGCACTTTTAGAAATTGAACTTTGTTAAATAGTCTTGTTGTTACAATCAGATATTTTACTAGACATGTACCATTATATTTGTTGCATGTATAATAGCCATGGCAAGTAAACAATTATTCAAATAATAATTGTCAAATTATTATTTCATTTTTATATTTGTTTTTCTTAATATCGACTTCATAACATTTGGATGTTGTAGGCGATCAACAGTAACATTAACATTAAAATCCCCCTGTTACCGTGTTCGTACTTTTAAATCGCCCATAATAACATCTCCTTTTAATGTGTGAATACTGGTGAATGTTTCCATCTCCTTTTAATGATTGAATATTGATGAGTGTTTCCAAATTACTTAACTCATAGATCATCGTTAATGGTGTTATAAATGATAATGCTTTTTCCCGCTCTTCTCCTCTACATCAGAATTATGATTTAGCTCCTCGGTCATATTGTTCTGCATGTATGTGCTACTATGAATTTGATGCTTATTACTGTAAAATGACTAATTTTTACTGGATTTGAATTTCGCTGATTAAGCATTTTGGGGATATTCAGTGGGTTTTAAATTCACGGTTTTATCATTTAGATAATGTGTTCTATGCTCAATTATACATATTTACTGGGTTTTAATTTAGAGCATTTTCCGGATACCCCTCCAATGTTAAATTTGGTCTTCTGACAAAAAGGCTGACCATGCCTTTCTAGAAGAAACGAACACACCCACACAATCATGACACGACACGACACGACCGAACTACCAAAGAGGGATTTCATCTAGAGTAGATTTTTTCTAGGAAATATATAACATAATCTAAAACAAGTGAATTTAGCGATTGGATCTTCCTGGAAACCTGATTGCGACACCCTCTACTGAAATAAAACATGCGTGCAACATATAAAACATAGTACACAGTACATAAATGGATAGCAACACCATAGCATTGTCATTTGATACGATGCGTGATATAACTATCAACAGAGCTATAACCATAGCCACCATACTGAGCGGATTAACATACTGTAATATTGTCAGCTCTACCAAAGTGACATCGTGCGAAAGCATGAATCCGACTTCAAGAAAATAAAGTAGCAATTACTGGTCACACTCCGCTCCGAAAGAATAACAAATCACTCAGGAGTGGTTGTTTCTACTTCAAGCTATTCACTCGTAATGTGCATCCTATTTTTGTTAAAAATACAGGGAACGGTAATTATAAACATGCTATTTACAGTGTGTTCGTGATATTCCTTCAAGACGACATACATACATTTTGATGACGTCATTTTACAGCACAGATGGTTTCCAATTAAGCTATATAAAGCAATATAGGGGCTTGTTTCCTGGAAGATACACTTCAAAAACCTCGACTTTATTTATATGTACATTGAAAGAGTTGCTTTAAAAATATGTTGTGATTTGTTAGGAATACCTGTTTTAACTATGCACTTAGTAAAACCGAAATCGTGATTTGAAAGTGTCAAATGTGAGATAGAATTGAAATGTCCTGATCAACGTACCAAGATGGTAACAAAATCAGTTGAATATGATGTATGAATTATTTATATTTGTATTAGGTTAACTCTAGATGCTTTCTTTTTCAAAGGTCTGTAAATAATTAAAAGTATTGATTTGAAGAAAAAGAAAAATATATACAGAGTCTGTCAATGTTGATTTTCATTTAGAAAGAATTCATTCCCCCACTGCAACTAAGAGGGATTGTAAGACAGGTAGAAATGTTATTTGTTTCCCAAAATAATGTTCTGTATTCTTCTTTGTGACAATTACCAGGACACATCATCGGGCATAAATTTTGGATTCAACAGGAATGGGGAAAAATCGATGGGCATTGGATTTTGTGGAGCCACAACACTAATAGAAAATTAACAATTGATATAAATATAGCTGTAGTTATCGAATTCGGCGCTGTATGCAAATGTGAAGTCGTAGATAATATAAATGATCACAAGTGTAATTAAACTCAGAACAAACTCGTGCTTCAAAACACAACGTGACGCTGTTCGTGTAACAACCACATTTCTTTTAACACAGTGAGTTAAAATAGTCAGATCAACACATTGGAAGAAGTAGTTAAAAGTAAAATAACGTGTATAAATATGACACTGCGTAGTATAGAAATGCATTGCTCTGTAAAGATGCAAATTCTAAACTGGGTAACGCTATTTGTTGTTGTTTTGCTTTTGTTCTATTTTATGAAGGTCTTTAAAAAAACCATCAACTTCGATGTTTGTTCCACAAAAACCACTGTTAATTCAACAGTTGACGTTAGTGATGTGAAATTTCCTCTCTTAGCTAGTCACACAACATCACAGCATGTATGCCCATGGTTATGCAAATCATATGTGACGTAAATTTGATGCCAATAATCACTTACTGCCCTCAAATTCAATTTTATAAATGTGGTAAATGAAAAAAGTAAAATATAAAACATGTTAGAAACGCATTTATATTGCTGTCTGTTCATATCATTACGTAATAAGTGCATGTTCAGCAATGCTACATAGAAATATCTTCATGTTTTCAAATATAAATTTTTTCTATTTCCTCCATTTTTTTCCCCTGCAATAAAATTCATATTACAAATCACTAACTAACTATGATGTATTCCTGGAAAT